TTAGCATTCTCCTCATCATGATTTCCAAGGCACTTCTGGACATAATATATATATATATAGTAGACGGTATTCTCCAAAGACAGTGACACACAATCATCTGCAACATGACCTTGCTATTCCCCAATTAAGATGCAGAATCTATTTCTCTATCTCCCTTGAGTCTGGGTGGGCCCTATGACTAGCACGGTATGACAAAACCAACACACCTATTCCAGGAGTAGTCCTTAACTGGCCTGGTCACTTCAACGTTATGTCTGTTCGAAATAAGCTGCTACATAAGTATAACCAACCACCCTAGCAGTGATCTGCTATGAAAGGCCAAGGTACATGTAAAGACACTGGATGAGATGCCATGTGAAAAGAGGACAGGGAGACAAAGAGTGCCAGGGCATTTAGCCACATGAAAGTCAAACCTGCTTGTGAAGTGGGTTTTCTAGCCTCAGTCTCCATAGATGGGATTATGGCTCAGTAAGAGATGGACCAGAGATGAACCATCCACACAGGCCCTATCCAAATTTCTGACCCATGAAGCATAAGCAAATAAAATCATTGTTTTAAGTTACTAAATTTCAGGTTGGTTTGTTATACAGCAGATAACCAGAAAATGATTTAAATACTACAAGATTATAGATCTCCAAGTCAATTTGTGCTCCAAAGTTACCTCCCAATACACACTTACTCCAGTGATTTCGGGATTGCTAAAAGTATCTTAGGAACAATTCTTTTGAAATCACTTAGGACCCTTAGTCACAGTTTTTCCAAATATCTCATTCTGAGTCACATGGTCCAGGGAAGTTTGAAAAACATTGTCTTATATTTTCTAATTAGACAGTTAAGTAAAAAATTGCTAAGAGTTTATCAAGCTAGGTGTAGCAGTGCATACCTGCAATCTCTGCTACTTGGAAGGCTGGGGCAAAAGGATCACCAGTTCAAGGCCAACCTGGGCTACATAGCAAGACCCTTAGGAAAAAAATATGAGAATGGTGAGACGGTTAACAGGAACACTGAGACCATTCAATAGGGGGGATAAGCTGTAATGTTCTATAGCATAGTAGGGTAACTTGGTTGGCAACAATTAATTAAATGCTTCAAAACAGCTAATAGTGCTCATAGCCAGTATTTTGAATGTTCCTAACAAAGAAATGATAGATGTATGAGATGTTAGATATTATCAGTTAACCTCATCTGATCATTACACATTGTAGACATGTATTAAAATGTCACACTGTACCCCAAAAATATATATAATTAGTGTCAATTTTAAAGTAACACTAAATAAATATACAGCAAAATACTTAGTTGATTGAATAAATCATTTTAACATTAAAAAAATAAAACTATGATGATAACCACTAGATTAACTAAAATCAGATATAGTGAAAACCCAACTTAGGAATAAGAATGGATATGTTAGGAAGTAGGATTGGAAAATTATTTAGCTTACATTCATATCCTTCTGTACTATTTGAACTTTGCTTAAAAGAAAAAAAGTAGGGCCAGGGATTTAGCTCAGTGGTTTCATGCCTGCTACACAAGCGCAAGGATCCGAGTTCAATCCCCAGTACTAAAAAAAAAAAAAAGTACATATATTTATTTTATTATTTCTAAAACATTAAACTAGAAAACTATATAAAAAGTACAGACTTTAACAAAACTGATAAAGATATGAACAAAAGAGTGAAATGACACTATGTTTAAAAAAAAGAAAAAAAAAAAACCAACCTAGTATTCTATATTTTGGGAGAAAAGCCTTCAAACATCAAAGAAAAACAAAGAAACAAAGATATTTTCACACAAAAATCAAGATGTCTCCTAGCCAGGAGACAAGCCCTACAAGAAATACCAAAGAAAGTCTTCAATTAAATGATAAACACACTGGAAGGTATCTTAATTTCTTTTATTCATAAAAACTACTAACCTGAAAATAACTTCTAAAACTTAAGTCTCCTTACTATTATTAGTTTAAATACTTTGAATCAAAAATCCAAAGGAATGAATTTTTAACTTAACTGTAAGGATACTCAAGGAGCAGAAAATTAACCTTGGAGTAGCAGTGCACACCTGTAATTCCAGCTGAGGCAGGAGGATCACTGTGAGTTCAGGGCCAGCCTGGGCTACATAATGAGATCAAGACCTGCCTAAACTACATAGTGAGACTCTGTCTCAAAAGAAAAAAAAGGGCAGAAAACTAAAAGCAAAGTAAAACCACATACCAAAAGTTAAAAGCTATTACAAAAAAATATATGTGATATATATACATTTATATATATAATATATTTCACAACAGGAAGTTTTTTTACTTAAAAATAAAATATACAGGGCCGGAGATTTAGCTCAGTGGTTCCGGCACCTGCCTTGCAAGCACAAGGTCCCGAGTTCAATCCCCGGTACCAAAAAAACAGAAACCAATAAATAAATAAATAAATAAATAAATAAAATATATATCTGGCAGAACTACAAAAATCAAACTGGTTAATCATCATTTTCCATGAGTTTGCTCATTTTGTCCAAAATGAACTCTAAAATACACACAGATAAATTCTGACAGTAATCATTGTAGTGCCCACACTCCCTTCCTCAGCCTTTCCTTCAATTAAACTGTTCTGCTATGTTTTATACCTCAGTATTGAACTATTATTTTAGTTTCTGGTATGTTTAGTTTGGTGCCCTACCCCCCCCCATTCCCCCACTCCTGGAACCGGGTATTGATCCCAGGGTCTCACACACTGGGTAAGCACACCACCAGTCAACTACATCTCCAGCACTACAGAAAAGAAATTGAAGGACAAAAATTAAATACATCAAGCCAGGTGTGGTGATGCACAGCATAATCACAGCACTTTGGAAGGTTGAGGCAAGAAGATCAAAAGTTTGGACTCATCATGTGTAATTTAGTGACTTAGCAAGACCCTGTCTCAAAACTAAAAGCTGCAGATGTACCTCAGTGTGAAGGCTCTTGGTTGAATGCCATATACATACATACATACATACATACATACATACATACATACATAAGGTGTTTGAAAGCTTACTAAGTCATATATTTTTATATCTGAATACTGCTCAGGGCAAAAATCTTTCATGATTAGGAAAGATTTTATTTAACTTTTTATTTCAAATAAAATTCACTTCCTTAACAACAATTTACTGCCCAAATAAATTTAAACTCCTTCAACAAATATTTGTCAAAATATAAAATTTACACACACACACAGTACACTTAAGACATATTTACATTCTTGTAGGTTTTTAGATGAACAAGATTTTGACTTTAGACTGGTGTTTAAAAACTAAAAAGAAGGGCCAGGGATTTAGCTCAGTGGTTCCGCCGCCTGCTTCGCAAGCATAAGGTCCCGAGTTCGATCCTCAGTACCAAAAAGAAAAAGAAACAACAAAAAAAAATAAAATAAAGTGGGGGCCCAGGGATTTAGCTCAGTGGTTCTGCCGCCTGCCCCGCAAGCGCAAGGACCAGAGTTCGATCCCCAGTACCAAAAATAAATAAATAAATAAAGTGGGCAGGGGGCCGGGGATTTAGCTCAGTGGTTCCGGTGCCGGCCGAGAAGTGCAAGGTCCCGAGTTCGATCCCTGGTACCAAAAAAATAATAATAATAATAAAGTGGGCAAGGCTCTGGGTTCGATCCCCAGCACTGCAAACTAAGTAAACAGCTGAGTCACAGGAATAAAAATTTCACTAAAAGCAGAACTTTCTATGGTAACCTTTTAAAATTATTTCATTTACCGCCCCATCCTGAAAACAACCTGCAGGGCTATCCTAGACAATCCATTAGTGTGTCTAATTCACTTATCACAGAAGTTTCAAACTCTAATGGCAACAAAAGCAATTAAACCTAGTGCGGTTTTTTAAACAAGCAGCAGCCCTAAATTCCAACTGATCAAAGGTCAATGTACACTTAAATTCTAAGTAGAAGTTCCTTCACTGTACACTTCTTTTCTTTTCACCAAAAAGTGAGGGGAAAATCAAGTTAACAGTGACACATACGAGAACAGTTAGTTCCCAGACAGAGGACACAAGAATTCACAATCCAAGGTTGGCAGGGAGATCAGTGGGCACACACACACACAGCTGCCCAGAGGAAGCTTTCAAAGAATGTCAGTAACTAACGGAAGTGCTAGGGCCCCATTTGTTAACACTAAAAGCCAGCCCTGTAAATAACACTGCAAAACACAACCTAGAAAACTCCATTCTCCAACACAAGATTTCCCAACAAAGCTCGAGGGGATCAGGCATAAATATAGTGGACCCTCTCGGGACTACTCCCTGTCCCACGGAAGAGAGGGCAGTCCATGTGAGTCGGAGTGCCAGGCCTCAGTTTATGTGACAGGTCCCTTGGGAGCATCCGAATGTGACCCGGGGCCCTTGGGGCCAACGCCGCTGGAAGAGGAACAGAAATGCAATCCTGGGGCCCTCCTACTTCCGCTCTCAAAAACAGCCCCGCAGTTTCTCGCAGTCCTCGTCCCCTGGAGTCCAGGACTTCTCAGCAGCCTCGGCCCCTTCCAAGAACTTAATGCAAAGAAAACTCTGGGACCGGGATCGATGGCAGGCGCTGGTTAAAGCGCCCCGCCCCGAGCTCGCGTGCAGATCCCCGGTCTTCGCCTTCCTACGCGGCCCTGCAGCGGGGGACGCGGGCAGCAGAAGGGGGCGTCCCGGCTCCCCATCCCCCGGCCCCTTCCTCCCGGGCGACGACAGCAGAAAGGCGCAAAGAGGAACTAAACGCACGGCGGGAAGATGCGTGGAGAGCGCCTCGGAGAGGGGCGGCGGGTGAACGCGGAGGGAGCGGAAGGCCGGGAGGAAGCTGCGAGGAGGAAGGGGCGAGGGCGCGCGCCCGGCGGGGACGAGGGCCGGGGACGCGGGCGGGCGAGGAACGGGGACGATGGGCGCAGGGCCTCGCGGGGACGCCGCAGCCCTGCGCCCGCCCCGTCGGAAGCGCAGACCGAGACCCTCCGCTCCCCGCGGCTCCCCGGCTTCCCCGGCCGATTACCTGAAGCGGGGCGAGTCCTTCAAACACTCCTCGAAATCCACCGTCATCTTCATCCTCCTGTCTCGCCTCGCTTCGTCTCGCAGGCGGCTCCGGGAGAGCCGAGGGGCCGCAGGACCGGCCGCGCTGGGAACCCTTACGGCTTCCGGCGGAGTGCTTGGCCGCGACTAGCGCTGCGCAGAGCTGTGGAGGGCGCCGCGCCCGCCGGTCATAGCAGCCGAGAAGACAGCGACGCCTCCTCAGGCCCCAGTCCCGGCCCCTCTTCCTCCCGCCCCCAGCAGAGCGCCGACCTAGGCGAAACGGCTCGGGAGTGACAGGCGTCACCAGCCAGCCAGGAACCCGGCAGCCAGGGGGAGGGGATTCCGGCAGCACCGCCTACGGGCGCTGGGCAACGCGCCTGAGCGACGACAACACGAGCCAATGAGCAGTAGGACCGTAGGCACCTCCTTGCTGTGACCGCTCCTCCCCCAGACCGCCAACGAGGATGCGCGGGCGTCGTTAGGCGGGACGCGCCAGTTGCTGGGAGGCCGGCAGAGGAGGCTCCTGGGGAAGGAAGTCACGTGACCGAACGCTGCGCTTCCGGGCGAGTCCCCGCCCTGGAGGGACAGCCTCCTTCAGGTTTTGGGACGAACTTGCTCCTTAAAACGCCTCTGGCAAAAATCTGGGGAACAGTGGCAGAAAGTTTAGTTGGAAGAAATAGGGCGAAGGCACACTTCCGTTCAGTTTAGAGAAACGGAAGCCAGGAAAGGAACGAGGGCAACTTTAGTGATAAAATCCATTTCACTGCTTGTTTCCATCGCTTGGTAACTTGGAAATTGCTCCCACATACATCTTTTCAGGTGCTAGAGACCACTTCCTGAGAGCTGGCGTTTGGGATGGGCGTGGAAAGATGGAAGGATGCAGACCTGGAGTAAGAGGTAGGGCGTTTCGCGGGGAGTAACTGCTGTGGAAACCTCAGAAGACGTCTCTTCTGACTCTTTGCCCCCAACAGTGTTTGCTTGTTCTACGTTGGTAGGATTGTGAAGACCACTTTGCAACAACTGCCCCTCTTAAACGTAGTTTTTCTAAATGCTCTTTAAGATATTCATCATCTGCCAGGCATGGTGGCCCATGTCACCAGCGCTGGGAAGCCGAAGGCAGGAGGATCACTATGAGTTTGAGGCTGGCCTAGGCTACATAGTTCTCAAAACAGCAAAAGAGGTATTCATCACCCGATCCTCACATTAATCCCACAAGGCAGATATTTACCATACTCTTTGATTTTAAGATGCCATTGATTGGGAAATGTACACTGACTACCTTGTATTTGTACACTTTTAAAACCTTTTTTTTTTTGAGACAAGGTCTTGATAAATCACTAAGTTTCCCAGGCTGGGTTCCAACTTGGGATCCTCCCGCATCAGCCTCTCAAGAATGTGGGGATTACAGGACCACCACACCTGTCTAAAACCAACTTTAAAAATAAATAAATAAATAAAAATAAAACCAACTTTAAAAGCATAGGTGTGTCCATAATCATAATGTTTTCAATAGTACAGTGCCTCTGAGAGTCTGGAGGCAAACTTCCTGAATTTACCTCTTAGCTTTCTCACTTTAAAATGAAAATAACACCACTGATCTGATGAAATTGTCCAGCTGACAGCACTACATAGTAATCATTCAATAAATATTGGTTATTATAATTGTACAATTTTCTACTTAAGGGCCTAATCAAAGATTAAGTCTAAGTCTCTCATTCACCATCTAACTCTAAGGTCTTAATGTAACCTTTGACCATCTGCCTAAATATAGCATGACAGCATGCTGTTTTTAATTGCCTATGGTTATATCTTGATCTTTTTAGCACTTTTACAAACTAGCAGTATACTGTTGAAACATTTCAAAGATACCTACCATTGTACATGTTTCTCCTTTGGTTATAAACTTTGTTTCATTTTTTTAATTGAATTGCATATCCCTATAGTCCATACAGCTTCTCTTGATAGCTAGAAACCTTTGATTGTTTAACATTTGCTGTCAGACACATCAGCTAGTAAGGCCAACCTCCTCCAGCATTATGACTTCTTTATCAAATTTACAACACGAGTTGGCCATTTCTAAACTAATTGTCAAATAAACACCTTTTTTGTTCCTGTAGATGGCTAAATTTGCATATGTCCAATTAGTGATTATACTGTCCAGTTTTTCTTCTCTGACCTGTAATAAAGCTAGTATTTTGAGGTGTCAACTATAGAATACATCCTGAATTAAGAAACAGTAAGCTGGGTGTGGTAGTACACACCTGTAATACCTGCTACTCTGGATAATTGAGGCTGAGGCAGGCTGATGTAGGCTGGGCAACTTAGCAAGACCCTGTCTCAAACTGGAAAGGAAAAAGGGCTGGAGGGTGTAGCTCAGGGGTAAGAGTGCCCCTGAGTTCAGTTCCCAGTATCACTCCTCCAAAAAATTAAAAGTAGGGTGGAGTGGAAGCCATGGATTTTTAGAATAGAGAAAATACTGTCATTACCTTCTTCTTGTAATAACTGGGGCTCCAAGACATAAAATAACTTGAAAGGTGACTCAAGCAAAACACACGCTCCAGAACACTGGATCCTGACTAGAAACTGCCCCTCCCCCTTTTGAGAATTCTGCCTTTATATTTGTAGTTCTGTCTTCCTGCCCCCCCCCATCCTTGTACTGGGAATTGAATGCAGAGTGCTCGCACTGAGCTACATCCCCAGCCCTTTTTATTTTATTTTATTTTATTTTATTTTATTTTATTTATTGAGATAGGGCCTCACTAAGTGGCTAAATTGCCCAGGCTGGGTCCAAACTTATGATCCTCCTGCCTCAGCCTCCTAGAGTACTAGGATTACAGGATGTGCCAGCACACCAAGCTTCCTTTCTTCTCATTATAATGCACCTCCTCTGGAATCCTTTTCCTTTTGCTGAAATGCAGATGTCCCTTTTCAAAACATAGTAAATGTTAGTCAGTAGGCCCACTCCACAATCTAAAAGGATATAAATTATCAAACCTTAAATATCTCTCAATTTATTTTTCCTAGACTTCGCTATCTGTCCCTGCAAACCCTCTGGAACCCTAGACACCTATAGCCTTTCCCAGAATGGTTCTGATTTCCTCTGAGGATTCTGAAGATTTTTTTTTTTTTTTTTTAGCCTGCTAAATTGCCAGGCTGACCTCAAATTTGTTCCTCCTGCCCCAGCCTCCTGAGTAGCTGGGATTACAAGCATGTTCTGCCATACCCAGTTCTGAGAAGCCTTTTGTCCACATACCATTTTTTTTGTTGTTGTTGGTATCGGGATTGAACTCAAGACCTTGTGCTTGTGAGGCAGGCATGTTGCCACTAGGCCCTGTCTACATATCCTATTGAGCAGAGATTGTTGCTTTGGGTCAGGGTACATAGCAAGAGCCTAACTCCCAACAGCTTACAATTTACATTACATCTTCATGCACGAATTTCCCCATGTTTAAGGCTGATGTACCAGCCACACCACTGTCTTCTTTCCTCCTTGCTGACATCTTCTAATTTTCCAGTGACTTCCAGCTTTAGTCTAATTACATTGTAAATTATCTCAAGGAAAAGGAGTTATGATGAAGATGACTGTGGGCAGGCACCCGACTGGGAAGCACAGGTGCCTAGGGACCTCTGGGAATAAGTTTTCCTTTCCTGGAGTCTGTGTCCTCCCTCTCCTTCCTACTTCCACACCCTCTCCCGGTTTCCTCTGCATGCTAAGGCTTCTGTACACCTGGTGAGCCTGGCTTGCATGGAATCCATCTTCCCTACTGGTCCCCACTGTGCACGGTTATCATCAGACTGCTGCAGGGGCCTTCAGGTGTGGGAACAGATGGACTGTAGCTGGCCAGGTGTAAGCTGCTTGGAGCAATGAAGCCCAATGGAAACGGAAACAGTGTGCCCTGACCACTCTGCAATTGCTGCAGCCTGTTCCTTGACAGTTCTTCATATATCCTTTTAACCTGTGCTCCTGTTGTTAACCACTTCCATCCATTTCCCAATTCCCAGATCTCAGGAGAGAATCACGTTAGCCTAGCTCATCATTTCATGTCTGGCCACACAAACTGTGGGGTCCTGGCGAGCCAACAGAGGGATGGAATCACTTAATGGCATCACTTGTGCAGGGACAGGGGTAGGGATAGGGCTGCAGAACAGCTAACTAGTAGGCAAGGAAATTCCCCCAAAAGAAGGCAATTATGCCTGGGCCCCATAAAAAAGCTACCAAACTCTGGAGTTCAGCCAGGGCTTAAGTCTCCACTCTAACTCCTACCATCAGCTAGGGTGACTTCAGCATTCACTCTTTCAGTAATATCCATTGAGCATGGGCTCTGGCTAGACCTTACTATAGTCCCTGAGCTTTATGATTGGAATAAATGCTCCTCTGCCTCTACAGCTCTCGACTGTCAGGTTCATGCCAGGCCCATGCGCAGGGAGCTTCTCATGCTCTGACAATTAAATCCTCTCCAGAAGGAAATAAGGGTTCTCCTATCACTGCAGATAGGAGCGATCTTCAGAAAGTAAGATCCAGGAAAAGACAGATCTTTTCAAGGACCTTCAGTCACAAGGAATTATGTAACTAAAGCACAGAAGCCAGAGAGACACATGGTCCTCGCGAGCTGTAAATAGAACAGATAGCTTTGGAAAAGAAGTAAAAATGAAGCTAGAGAGGAAAACAGTAGCCAGATTACAGGGCCCTTGTCTGCATGGTAAGTGTACATTAAAGCAATGGAAAGCCAGTGGGAGAATGAAAACCTGGGAGTTTAAACAGGGTCTGATTTGCATTTTAAAGGGAATTAGAGTTGGATTATTAGGACCAAGACTAAATGCTGTAAGCAATTTTGAGTTTTTTCAACCAATGCAATTGCAATCAAGAGCTGTTAAGAAAATGCAGTTGAAAAGATCTGATGGCCAACTCAGTAGAGGAAGGGAAAAGACTAAACTCCCAGGGTAACTTCAGGCTCCAGGTCAGGTGACTGGGAAGGAACCGGGATGCCCTTCACAGGAAGATGAGAAAGTCTGTTGCAAAACATGAAAATCCTTAAATGTTCCCACATAAACTTTGTCTAACCCAGAACATTGCCTGCATGAGCCCAACCCAGGGACAGCAGACTCTTTTTTTTATCTTCCAGGCTATGGGCTTATCTCCCCCTGCCCAAGTCTTGCCTTCCCCCGCTCCAGGTTGGCCTGGGCAGCTCCACATGCCCCATTCTGGATCAGCCCAAACATTTTCCTTCTGCTCTCCCCAGTTCTAGTTGCTGAGCACAACTGGAGGGTGTGTGTGTATGTGTGGTGCAGGAGATTAAAGCCAGGACCTCACTCATGCTAGGCAAGCGTACTACCACTAATCCACACCCTAGGCCTATAAATTTTTATTTTAACCAATGGGAAGTCATTGAAAAAACTGAGGCAGATAAATTTTAGTATATGTGCTGCTGAAGCGAGCACAAGGCAGAGAAATAATATTACCCAATTTGTGGCTTTATTTTGTTTTGTTTTTGTGGTCCTGGGCCTTTGCACTGAGCTACATCCTGGGCTCTTTTATTCTTTGTTTTTTTGGTTTTTTTTTTTTTTTTTTTTTTGGTACCAGGGATCAAACTCAGGTCCTTGTGCTTGTGCAGCAGGCAGCGAAACCACTGAGCTAAATCCCCGGCCCAAAAAACCATTTTGTTGGTTTTTTTTTTTGGTACCGGGGATTCAACTCAGGTCCTTGCGCTTGTGCAGCAGGCAGCAAAACCACTGACCTAAATCCCCGGCCCCTAAAGTTTTTTTTTGTTTTTTGTTTTTTTGGGGTTTGTTTTTTTTTGGTACAGGGGGATTGAACTAGGGTCCTTGCGTCTTTTATTCTTTAAGACAGTGCCGCACTAAGCTGATAAATTGCCTAGGTTGGACTCAAATGTACACTT